ACAAAGGGTTTAATACGTCTCAAAGTACCCAGGCCTGCTCCAACCTTTTTGCAAATCGCCTGAATATGTGAATTCCAGTTAAGATTTTCATCTAAATCGAGACCAAGACATGTGAAAGAGTGATTACTACAGGAGGAAACCAAAACTTTATGTACTGTTTAAAACACGAGGAAACAGAGTGTCTTATATCTGATAAAGCACGAACTGCGAATGTTTGTTTTTGTCACATACAAAAACGCCGACACAGAAAATGATGCGGTCTGAAATTCAGCGAGTTTTTATATATTGCTGTACTGTATATAATATATGGCGTCCGTTTTACAGCATGATGATTGTATTTAAATTGACAATATTTAACTATTGTGTTGTGTTTCATGAATTATTAATGCTTTTTTAAATGTCTCTATTAGTTTCAGATTGTTCCCCTTGGAGGTCCAGTGATTTGTTTTCTTGCTACACCAAACCCACATATCTTTTTCTCTCTGACAGACTTTTAGAATTCGACGAAGGCATAGAAGCGCTCGAAGCGGCCATCGAATTCAAAACCGACTCAATCAACACGCAAAAGAACAAGTTGGGCGTTGAAAAACCCGAATTCTCACAGAACGAGTTAGTGGCAAAACTAAACAGCTTGGGTCGAGAAGACGCCATATTCCTGCTATCAAAATATTTCGAGAAAGTGATCTCTCATCGCGAGAATGAACGAAAACAGCAAGTGAAGTGCGACGATATGACTCTCCGTGTTGACGAGCAAGACCGCGTGATCAGGGAACTGGAACGAGGGTTCCAGCAGGCGGATTTGCGGGCTGAACGCAGGCTAACTGATCAGGCAAAGGAGTATGAACAGCGAGTACAGTTCCTTATGAAACAAGTCAATGATATGGAGCAGCACACAAGGTAAGGTTCTATCAGTTCACTGAGCTGCGTATATATCTGGAGCGAGAAGTCGGGTCCAAAAAGTCAGCTTTGTGTTAACCGCGCAGACAAAAACAATAGAAAGGGACTGGAATTGACGTCCTATAGCTTTTCAATTTCCGCCATCTTGGCATAGCCAATTGCCCACGTAAAAATCTCACAATTTGTCAACAAGATGTGTTCGCATCAGGCTTGTAGCAAGCTTGTCAACAAGTTGTAACAATGTTGTTATTTTATCAAGTTGCTACAAGGTTGTCACTCACAACTTGTCAACAAGATGTGTTCGCAACAGGCTTGTAGCAAGCTTGTCAACAAGTTGTAACAATACTGTTATTTCATCAAGTTGCTACAAAGTTGTCACTCACAACTTGTTGACGATAACAAGTTGTTGGAACAACCTGTAACAAGTTTGTTGAGCTCAACAACCTTGTAGCAAGCTTGTCAACAAGTTGTAACAATGCTGTTATTTTATCAAGTTGCTACAAGGCACACAACTTGTTGACAAATTGTTGAATTGTAGGACGATAACAAGTTGTTGGAACAACTTGTAACAAGTCTGTTGAGTTCAACAACCTTGTAGCAAGTTGTTAAGAAGATATAACAATGTTGTTTTTTTATCAAGTTGCTACAAGGTTGTCACTCACAACTTGTTGACAAATTGTTGAATTGCAGGACGATAACAAGTTGTTGGAACAACTTGTAACAAGTTTATTGAGCTCAATAACCTTGTAGAAAGTTGTCAACAAGTTGTAACAATGCTGTTATTTTATCAAGTTGCTACAAGTACAAAGTTGTCACTCACAACTTGTTGAATTGTACAGTAGGACGATAACAAGTTGTTGGAACAACTTGTCAACAAGATGTGTTTGCATCAGGGTTGTAGCAAGCTTGTCAACAAGATGTAACGATGCTGTTATCAAGTTGCTACAAGGTTGTCACTCATAACTTGTCGACAAGTTGTTGAATTGCAGCATGATAATAAGTTGTTGGAACAACTTGTAACAAGTCTGTTGAGCTCAACAACCTTGTAGCAACAAGCCGTTCACAACCTTGTAGCAACAAGCCGTCAACAAGCTGGAAACAAGCAGTGCGAACTCATCCTGTTGACAAGTTGTTGGAACGGCATTGTTACAAGTCTACTGAAGGTTTATGCTGAACGTGTGTAGTTCTGTCGAAACATCGTAAACATGTCTTATCTAAGAGATGTATTTCTTGACTTTAATCAGTGAGAAAGATGGTCGTATTCACGAGCTCGAGAAGGACTTGTATTACTACAAGAAAGTCAGTCGAGACTTGAAGAAGAGGCTGCGAGAACTGGCCGGGAAAGATGGAGTACTGGACTCTATGCAAACTATGAGCGTACAGAGCGAGGCACCGTCTGAAGCTGAGCTTAGGTTGACTGTCGAGGTGAAGAGTCAGGATAAGAAAGAGAATAAATTTTCTGATGGAAATATTAAGGTAATGTTAGTTTTTGTTTGCAACAAATGCACATGTAAAAACGCGCACGTTTTACGATCTGCAAACAAGTTTTAACAAAGGTGTTGTCAAGCAGATATCAGGTTCGCACTGCTTGTTCCCAATTGTTGTGACAAGTCTGGAACAAGTTGTTAACACCTTGTTACAAGATCGATGACGGCAACAGACTTGCTACAAGTTGTTCTAACAAGACTAATACAGGCTGTTCGTAACAAGTTGCTACGAGCTTGTTGTCATCAACTTGTGAACAACTTGTTACGTGCAGACGATATCAGACTTGTTGGAACAACTTGTTGCGAGTCTGTTGGCCTCATCAACCTTGTTACAAGATGATTACAACTTGTTCCAGACTTGTCAACAACTGCGAACAAGCAGTGAGGTTTTCACGCGTGTAGTCGTAGGGTAAAGAACAATTGTTTTGGAAACTGGTCATCTCATTTCTCTAGGCTGCACAAGTAAAAATCTCACATCTTGTAGCAAGTCTGCCAACAAGCCGTCAACAAGTTGTGTTCGCACTGCACGCGTAAAAACGCACAAGTTGTAACAAGCCTGCAAACAAGATGTTACAAGTCTGTTCACAAGCTGTCAACAAGTTGTGTTCGCATTGCTTGTTTCCCAGTTTGCTGTAACAAGTTTGGAACAAGCTGTTAACAACTTGTAACAAGCTTGATGGCATTGTCAGCCTTGTTACAAGACTGTGCTAACAAGTTTGTCACAGCCATGATATAACAAGGATGTTAAAGGTTGTCAACACAAGGTTGTAACAATCTTGTTATATCAAGCATGGCACAGATTTGTCAGAACAACCTTGCAACAACTCTGATAATTTCGACAAGGTTGTTACAAGTTGTCAACAAGTTGTTCAAAACCTGTTGACAACTTGTGACAAGCAGTACGAATACATCTTGTTGACGGCTTGTTGGCAGACTTGTTACAAGATGTGAGATTTTTACGTGTGTAGTACTGCTTGGTCCTAGTTGTTGGAACAAGTTTGTTAACAACTTGTAACAACCTTGTTGATATTATCAGACTTGTTGCAAAGTTGTTCCAACAAGTCTGATGCAGTCATGAGTCATGACATGACAATATAAATATTGTTATACCATCAACCGTGTAACATTCTTGTTATATCATGACTGTATCAGACTTGTTAGAACAACCTTGTAACAAGTCTGATAATGCCATCAAGCTTGTTACAAGTTGTTAGCAGCTTGTTCCAATCTTGTTACAATAACTGGGAACAAGCAGTGCGAACACAACTTGTCGACAGCTAGTTTTTACTTGTCTACCAGGCGCTGTTGATATCTCACAGAAGTTCAGAAACGATTATAAGCCCTCAAGAATAATTTGATCTATTTTGTGTAGACCGTAATGGACAAGGTAGCTGGAGGTCAACCTTCTACTCCTGTGCGAGTGTCGCGAAAAGATCTGAGGGAATTAAGGTACGTTGCACACCGTTATGTTTCTAGTAAACTAGTGTGTATTTATATCCTTTGTCATCAAACATCACACATATATCGTTTGTTTCATTCTATATACTTACATCTTCGGCAAAATAACTAGGTATGTTAGTATGATCTGCTCCAGGGGCGGGTTGTTCAAAGGTGGGTTAGCGCTAACCCTGGGTTAAAATTTAACCTGCTGTTTTAGTTTATGTATTTCTGCACGTCTGGTTATTTCAAAACGTCAAAAAAAGAAAACTGTCGATCCAGACAAGATCGTTGAAGAAATATTTCCAAATTTATAGACAAGTTGTGAGGAAGTTTGCTTTGAATTTT